ATGTGTTTATCCAGTGTCTCATTTCATAAAGGCTCTTAAAACAGAAGGTGATGGCAAGAGCATGTCTCCTGTACATGAAGCATCTTGACTTTCTGTTGGGCTGGGACGTTGAGAGTACAGAGGGCAGGGGCAGGCTGCCAGCAGGGCTTGTTCATATGGAAGCAGATTTCTTACCTTCTTCAGCTTATCTTCGGCTAAGACTTACTTGGTATTTTGCCAAATGTTTTCTAAAGCACCGGTTGTAATATTTACTGAGCATCCACAGTGTACGAAGCACAATGTAGTAAGGCTTTATTGTCTTTGTAAAATTTTTGCTTAAGGTTAAAACTGCTGTCTGCTTGTATTATAGAAGATAGTGGATATGCGGATTTTTCTTTAAGATTAACCATGAATGTTGCATTTTGTCAAAATGCCTTTTTAACAAGTAATAATAAAAGTAAAGCTTGTGTTAAGAAAAACTGGTTTGGCTTATATTTCTAATTAAGCCTTTTTTTCTTTACTTTTAGGAAAGCACCAGAGTAGTTCAGCCCATAATTTTGGGGAAAATTATTGGTTATTTTGAAAACTACAATCCCACTGATTCTGCTGCTTTGTACGAAGCCTACGGCTATGCCGGAGTGCTGAGTGCCTGCACGCTCGTTTTGGCCATTCTGCACCACTTATACTTCTATCATGTTCAGTGTGCGGGGATGAGGTTAAGAGTAGCCATGTGCCATATGATTTACCGCAAGGTAAGTGTCATTCGGAGCCAAAGTATGTACCTTTCCTGAAGTATCAGAAGCCTTTTGGGAAAGTTCTCTGTAAAGTAAAAATTTTATAACTAGTAAAAATTGTGAATCACTACATTGTACACGTGTAACTTATATAATATTGCACATCAAGTATACTTCAGTAAAAAAGTAAGAAAAACACATTGTACCCGGGAAAAAAAATTTTGTTCTTAATGACTGTACTCATTTACACCATATTACAGAGGCTTGCTATTTGCATCAAGCCAATTTTGGTGTTTAAGCAAACCTTACAAAAATATAATGAAAAGATTTCTATCAGGTCAGGGCTGCTTTTGATAACTTTCATTCACAGTCCACTGCATAATATGCAGTAAATCTGTAATGAAGTCTATAAGCATCCGTGTTATCCAGTTGATTTTTACTGTTTTCATGCCTAAATCTCATAGTGGTATTTATGGAGACTCTGCTGTTGTTTATGAAAACCTTTATTTACACAAAGTTGTATTTAATAGTAAGCTTCAGTGATTGGATCTATAAAATTAAATCTAGGAGAAAAGAATGTATTTGAGAAAGGGCATGTTTATATTTTTAAGTGACCCATCTAATCATATTCATTATAATTATGTTAATTAAGGAATAATGTAAATGGAGTCCATGCTACATATAGACTCCCTCATTGTGTTGTAGAGTTGTGATTGTTCATAACAGCATTAAAGAAAAGAGGTGTTTGGGATAAAACTTGAAATTTTTCATTGTTTTTAGTAATTTGGGGGAGAATTTGTTACCGTTCATTCAAAGTCTTTTCCTTAATAAATTTCCCTTTTTTCTTTAGTATGTATTGTAGCACTTTTAATAAGACGTGGTTTGATGTTTTCAGTGCTTTTGTATTGAGAAATGCCCATAGAATTATTCCACAGATTACCCTGGTCTTAACTAGTATAAAAGGAGTAAGGATTTCAGGTGTCTTTACAAAGGAATTGCCACAGATACACCAGTGTCAAGAGTTGAAGGGCTCTCTATGAACTTGATCCTGGATATCTCTTTTACCTGTTTACTTTTTAAAGAATTTTCATTTGACTGTATTGTATACTTGAAGTTTACTGAGATAGCAGATACACTCACAAAGGACAACTACATAATGGACATGTTAAGTGGTTTTACTACAGTAATTATTTCCCACTGTATATTTATATCAAAGCAACATGTTATACACCTTAAATGTATACACTTTTTATTAAAAACCAATTAAAATCGTCCTTGAAAGCCAAAACCAAACAATTTAAATTGAAATTTTTCATTTCTTTTACCTAGTTGCTACTTATTTAGACCTTCTGTTTCTTGGGAGTAGTTTTCTTGGCAGAATGGAAGATGTGTCATCATCTTTTTTTTTTTTTTTTTTTTTTTTTTTTTTTTTTGGCTCCGGACGTGGAGGCTCAGCGGCCGTGGCTCACGGGCCCAGCCGCTCCGCGGCATGTGGGATCCTCCCGGACCGGGGCACGACCCCGCTTCCCCTGCATCGGCAGGCGGGCTCTCAACCACTGCGCCACCAGGGAAGCCCTCATCATCTTTTCTTGAGCAGAGTCTTGTGAATCTCGGGAGTCTGTGAACCCAGGGACCTGGCATCTCACTGTCTGTGTTTGGCTACAGCATCTGAGCCGGTTTCCTCCTGGGTGACGTAGAAATGGCAGTGGTGCCCGTACACTCTAGTCAGGGGTCTGCCTTGTCGTTCATCATCATCTGTTATTCTGTTGCATCTTCTTCTGTTTAGGATATGGATACTCAGATACCCACAGATCAGCTAGATGCTTGTCCTTCCAGATCATGCTTAGCTCCCATAAATAAATAGGAAATTTCACCAGAAGTGCACGGTGAAAACCTTTCATTAGGTCTGATGATTCAAACAGATCACTGTTTGCTGCTGCACAGGTGAGCCATTGTCTACCAGTTTTTCTTCCTCTTCCCACTAACACTTGGAAAACGTTGCCGTTGGGAAATCTGATATAATCTGGCACATTTGCTTAGGTGAATGTAAACATGTCTCAAAGCCATTAATTTGCTGGCTTGATTAGGGTAAGAGAATTGTTCTTTAGGAAGTCAGCTATTGTTGGGATTATACCATAGACGTGACCTGAAATTCCAGAAACGTGGGAAAGACCAGTTTCCTCAGGCACAGCCTTACATCTAGGATCCTTTTTAGGAGTAGAAATATGACACTTCTTAGCAGGTTACAGGTGGGCTAGTTCCTTAGGGGAAAAGCTGGTGCTGCAGAGCAGCTCTGAAAAGCCCCTCTGATCTTTGGGGTTTATGCTTACGGGCCCCCCCCACCCCCCCACCCCGCTAATCCCTGGTCCTGGGGAGAAATCAGGTTGGGTGTTCGAAATGGAATGGCTGCTAAGTCACAATTGTAACTTTGAATGATCTTGTGGGATGTATCATATGTAAGAATGACTTGTCGTTTATCTACCTTTCAACTGCTTTGGTAAAATTACTTTTGATCACTGCTTTTTAAAAAAAATGTAGTAAAATGTACACAACATCAAATTGTCCATTTTAGCTCTTTTTAAGTGCACTGTTTAGTGACATTAGGCACATTCACATTGTTGTGCAGCCATCATCGCTATTTGTCTCCAGAACTTTTTCATCTGCCCAAACTGAACCTGTGCCCCCTTTAAACACTAACTGCCCACCCCCTCTCCCCTCAGCCGTCACCATTCTACTTCTCTCTATGAATTTGACTGCTCTAGGTGCCTCACAGAAGTGGAATCATACAATGTATGTCATTTTGTGTGTGGCTTATGTCATGTAGCACAGTGTCTTCAAGGTTCGTCCATGTTGTAGCAGGTGCCAGCACTTAATTCCTTTTTAAGGCTGAATAATACTCCATTATAGGTTTTGTATATCCATTCATCTGTCAATGGACATTTGGGTTGTTTCTATGTTTTGGCTATTGTGAATAATGCTGCTGTGAGCATGGGTGTTCAAATATTTGTTCAAGTCTGTGCTTTCAGTTCTTTTGAGTACATCCCCAGGAAGTTGAATTGCTGTATTATATGCTAATTTTATGTTTAGTATTATGAGGAACTTCCATACTCTGTTCCACTGTGGCTACATCATTTTACATTCACACTTGATCATTGATTTTTCTTTTTAACTTGAGGACTAAATGAAGTTTTTATGAACTGTGACATTTTGTTTGGATCAGTGACTCCAGTTGTTGGTTTTTTGAAACAGCTCATGATGGTCTCTTCAGGTTCCTGAAATGTCTAGGGCATTTTTTTTGAACTTCTTACCAAATAAAGGGATTGTGGAACACGGGCTCTGTTTGTGTAAAGTCAGCAGACTGGCATTACAAACACAGGTTCCTCAAAGGAATAGTGTTTGAAACATTATATTCACTCATTTTAGAAAATCGCCCCCAGTCCCTGGTGATATGCCCAGCGTGAGTTGCTATAACCTTTACAGTGAGACCAGTATCTTAATTCCTGTCTTTCTTTGTTCTTGGTTGGGACAGAGAAGGAGAACTCATCCGGCTTCAAATCACAAAGGGTAACTTCCCCAGCTCAGAGCATGGGAGGTGGGCACGGGCTGGGGGAAGATGGTAACTTCAAGCAAGCTGAGCCTGGATTGAAGACGGCTGTTGATCTCCAGCCCCAGTCAGTAGTGAGAATGTATCTCCCAGTTTCCAATCCTGACCTTGTCTTCGTGCCTGAATGTTACAGGTGTTCTGACCTGGGGCAGACAGCGTGATAATCTCTCTAAGCAGGTTGATCTTGTCATATGGCACAGAGATTTTATGTATTATAAAATGCATAGGGCACAGATATTTTTCCTTAAGAGGCTCCTTAATAGCCTAGTGGACTGTAGGTTTCCTGACTTTGTGTGCAGTTTGTAGAGCTGTGGCCATTCCCTGTGGTGGGTCCTGATGATGGGTTGGTTTGCTCTGAACGTCAGGTAAAGCCAGAGCAGATAGTCATTGAGATCACTGAGTGTTCTCTGCTGCTTGTTTACCCAGTGCAGACTTACTTGCAGAATCTAATTAGTTTGAGCAGATTTCTTACTGTGGCTGAAATCATCACTCTCTTTAGTGTTACGCAAAGGATAGTTTGCAGGAGAGATTTGTCATTCTTTGTTTCAGCTTCTAAGATGAGTTGACTCCCTGCAAACACCCTAATTTCCCTTTATCCTTTATTGTAGATCTGTCTTACAAGAATTTATGTACAGTTAATCCTGGATATTTGTATTTTGTGTTTGCGAATTCACCTACTTGCTAAAATTTATTTGTAATTCTAAAAATCAATACTTGGGGCTCTATCATGGTCTTCTGCGGGTGTGCACATAGTCTCTTAAAGTTTTTTGTCGTGTGACATGCATATTACCAGCTGGGTTGAAAACAATATGTGCCTGTTCTCATACTATGGAACAGATGCTCTCTTTGTGGTCTTCTTAGTGCCTTGCTTTCCACATTTTTGTATTTTTTGGGGGGTGATTTTGCAGTTTAAAATGGCCGCTAAAGTGGGCTGAACTACTGTCTGGTGTTCCTAAGCTGAGGAAGACTGTCATGTGTCCTATGGAGAAAATATGTGTGTAGGTGAGTAAGCTTGGTTCAGGTATGTGTTATAGTGCTGCTGGCTGTGAGGCCAATGTTAATGAATTTACAACAGCGATTAAAATATTTTAAACACACTTGTTTCCTTATTTCTCATTTATTTCTGATATAAACTTGAATTGGATATGTGCATTTCGTGAAGAGTTAATCTCATCAGGGGGCAATTGGCAGTTGTTCTAATTTGCTAGGGGAGAGGTAAGAGGAGCCACTGGGTGAAGGTTTCATTTTCTGTGGGTGCTCCCAACAAAGCAGGTTAAGGAAGGAGAGGAGAGGCTGTTTGGTTTAGCTACGTTCAAAGGGGATGTTTCTGCTGCTGGAGAGTAACGGGTGTCAACTGTATTCTACCACCTGATAACTGTCTGCTGTGTGGGTTGCAGTGCAAGCTGGAAGGGAA